GAAGGGAGGAAGGAAAAGGGAAGGAGCAAACGCAAGGTAACAGCGTACAACGTGCCTTGCAGCCTACAACCATGAAGGTTTGCGTGACCGTTGCCGTTGTTAGGTGCCGCAGAGCTGGCTCTGACTCATGGCGATTCCACGTACAACAGAACAAAACACTGCCCAGTCCTGCACCATCCCCACAATCACTGCGATGGTCAAGCTCACTGCTGCAGCCACTGTGTCAGTCCATCTTGTTGAGGGTCTTCCTCTCTTTTGCCGACCCTCTACCAAGCATGATGTCCTTCTCCAGGGACACGTCCTTCCTGATAATGTCCAAAGCATGTGAGATGACGTTTCGCCATCCTTGCTTCTAAGGAGCACTCTGGCTGTACTTCTTCGAAGACGGACTTGTTCATTCTTCTCGCGGTCCACGGTATATTCGATAGTCTTTGCCAACACCGTAATTCAAAGGCGTCAATTCTTCTTTGGTCTTCTTTATTCACTGTCCAGCTTTCCCATGCATATGAGGTGACTGAAAACATGGCTCGGGTCAGGCGCGCCTTAATCCTTAAAGTGACATCTTTGCTTTTGAACACTTTAAACAGGTCTTTTGCAGCAGATTTGACTAATGCATACATCCTTTGATTTCCTGACTGCTGCTTCCATGGGCGTTGATTGTGGATCCAAGTAAAATGACATCTTTGACAACCTCAATCTTTTCTCCGTTTATCATGATGTTGCTTATTGGTCTGGCTGTGAGGATTTTTGTTTTATGTTGAGGTGTAACCCATACTGAAGGCTGTGGTCTTTGATCTTGTAAAAATGGAGTGGGGGTGGTGCCTCAACTCCTCTAACTTCACAAGGGGAAAGGAGAGAGAACCAAAATCAACAGCCCAAGGTAGACTCCTATGAGGCAGAGGTCAGATTTGCCTTCTCTCTCTGCCATCTTTACCAATTCTGACACCAACAGTCCCTCCCACAACACTCTCTACTCTGCTGGGTTTGATGATTTATCGCAACGGCCACACACAACTCACAGACCACACTCACGATCATGGGGTTTATTAGCGAAGTAAGAGTTACAATTTAG